CGTGAATGCGCTGAGTTCGTATGGGGACTCCCACCGAGACATGGGTTCGAATCCTAGTCATGCCATGGATGTTTGTGTTTGTCTGCTTACCTAACCCCGCACAAGTTTCGACTTATGGGGCGTTTGGTCCCAGTGCTGGGACCAACGAGGTAATGCAATTGCAACAACAACAAGAATATAGTTCAAGGTGATTCAAAATTTGATGTAAATATCTTGAGTACGTATTGTTGTTCATATAATGATGTGGCTTAAAATGTACCTCCTTCGAGCTCTAGTCACTGTAAGTTGGGTAAAAAACAGAAGGTTATCTGAAATTGTGATCATAATAACGTATCAAGTGCAAGTATTGCAGTACTGCACGCCTCTGAAATAACAGTCTCAAATGCGTTCCGACATGCGATCATCTCCGTATGCAAGCAACCCACTGCGTTCGAAACCGATGCAAATTGCAAGATACCAACCGGATTCTTAAATTTTCTCATGGCCCAAAAGATCATGCAATTCAAAGTCAGATAATTTCTCTGTTGTAACATAAAATTTGGGCCATCAAAAGGGTGGACCCCCCACCACCTCCCTCAAAATTCGGTTTACATCATTTTTAAAGGAAAAAAAGATAGATGAGTGTCCAAAAACACAAGGGCATGCCTATTAAAAGAAAATGTAATCCATTGAAAAGGAATATTCTCAGATATATTATAAACATGAAAAAATGGATACATTTGAATAAATACATTGAGAATTCGCATTCTCTATGTGATGAAATTATTAATTCTTTCTCGGCATATTCAACAGAAAACAACTACTTTCCTGGCTATATGCCACGACGAACATTGAATTATATCAATTGAACATACACGATAGGAATTTGAGCATAAAATGAATATCGTCTGAAATTGAGAATTGACATTCTCTTCCAGAATCGGATGAATACTATGATGAATATAACGATATAAAAAATATATTACTTACCAAATTGGTATGAAAATTGGAATGTATGGGAGAAATATACTAGTATACATACTCTGTTCTTGTTGAGTCGTGAATTTATCAAAAATCATCCGTATCCATGATGTTTGGGATATATGCACATCTCTTTCACATAGGTTAGATGATTTTGATTCGAATAAAATTCATTTCGAGTTTCAAACTCTCCTCAGTAACCTGAAGTCCAGTCATTCCTTCAGCCATTCTTCACTTAATACACAATTTTCACATTTCTATAATAATATAACTAAAACTATAGTGGAACTGACATCTATCTGAGAATGAAAATTTGTTGACTTATCTCCAGTCATGTGGGTGGCAATTGTTTTAGATGTATGACAAACTGACATTTATCATACAGGGCGTGGAAAGAAATTCTGAATTGAGAAAAACCCAATCACGAATCTGCGATTGAAGGTCTATAAAAATAACAAGTTTCCATCGTTCAAGTTTGAACCCCTTGATTGGGTATGAAAGTATTGAAAAGGAATATTCTCAGATATATTATAAACATGAAAAAATGGATACATTTGAATAAATACATTGAGAATTCGCATTCTCTATGTGATGAAATTATTAATTCTTTCTCGGCATATTCAACAGAAAACAACTACTTTCCTGGCTATATGCCACGACGAACATTGAATTATATCAATTGAACATACACGATAGGAATTTGAGCATAAAATGAATATCGTCTGAAATTGAGAATTGACATTCTCTTCCAGAATCGGATGAATACTATGATGAATATAACGATATAAAAAATATATTACTTACCAAATTGGTATGAAAATTGGAATGTATGGGAGAAATATACTAGTATACATACTCTCTTCTTGTTGAGTCGTGTATGTTCAATTGATATAATTCAATGTTCGTCGTGGCATATAGCCAGGAAAGTAGTTGTTTTCTGTTGAATATGCCGAGAAAGAATTAATAATTTCATCACATAGAGAATGCGAATTCTCAATGTATTTATTCAAATGTATCCATTTTTTCATGTTTATAATATATCTGAGAATATTCCTTTTCAATACTTTCATACCCAATCAAGGGGTTCAAACTTGAACGATGGAAACTTGTTATTTTTATAGACCTTCAATCGCAGATTCGTGATTGGGTTTTTCTCAATTCAGAATTTCTTTCCACGCCCTGTATGATAAATGTCAGTTTGTCATACATCTAAAACAATTGCCACCCACATGACTGGAGATAAGTCAACAAATTTTCATTCTCAGATAGATGTCAGTTCCACTATAGTTTTAGTTATATTATTATAGAAATGTGAAAATTGTGTATTAAGTGAAGAATGGCTGAAGGAATGACTGGACTTCAGGTTACTGAGGAGAGTTTGAAACTCGAAATGAATTTTATTCGAATCAAAATCATCTAACCTATGTGAAAGAGATGTGCATATATCCCAAACATCATGGATACGGATGATTTTTGATAAATTCACGACTCAACAAGAACAGAGTATGTATACTAGTATATTTCTCCCATACATTCCAATTTTCATACCAATTTGGTAAGTAATATATTTTTTATATCGTTATATTCATCATAGTATTCATCCGATTCTGGAAGAGAATGTCAATTCTCAATTTCAGACGATATTCATTTTATGCTCAAATTCCTATCGTGTATGTTCAATTGATATAATTCAATGTTCGTCGTGGCATATAGCCAGGAAAGTAGTTGTTTTCTGTTGAATATGCCGAGAAAGAATTAATAATTTCATCACATAGAGAATGCGAATTCTCAATGTATTTATTCAAATGTATCCATTTTTTCATGTTTATAATATATCTGAGAATATTCCTTTTCAATACTTTCATACCCAATCAAGGGGTTCAAACTTGAACGATGGAAACTTGTTATTTTTATAGACCTTCAATCGCAGATTCGTGATTGGGTTTTTCTCAATTCAGAATTTCTTTCCACGCCCTGTATGATAAATGTCAGTTTGTCATACATCTAAAACAATTGCCACCCACATGACTGGAGATAAGTCAACAAATTTTCATTCTCAGATAGATGTCAGTTCCACTATAGTTTTAGTTATATTATTATAGAAATGTGAAAATTGTGTATTAAGTGAAGAATGGCTGAAGGAATGACTGGACTTCAGGTTACTGAGGAGAGTTTGAAACTCGAAATGAATTTTATTCGAATCAAAATCATCTAACCTATGTGAAAGAGATGTGCATATATCCCAAACATCATGGATACGGATGATTTTTGATAAATTCACGACTCAACAAGAACAGAGTATGTATACTAGTATATTTCTCCCATACATTCCAATTTTCATACCAATTTGGTAAGTAATATATTTTTTATATCGTTATATTCATCATAGTATTCATCCGATTCTGGAAGAGAATGTCAATTCTCAATTTCAGACGATATTCATTTTATGCTCAAATTCCTATCGTGTATGTTCAATTGATATAATTCAATGTTCGTCGTGGCATATAGCCAGGAAAGTAGTTGTTTTCTGTTGAATATGCCGAGAAAGAATTAATAATTTCATCACATAGAGAATGCGAATTCTCAATGTATTTATTCAAATGTATCCATTTTTTCATGTTTATAATATATCTGAGAATATTCCTTTTCAATACTTTCATACCCAATCAAGGGGTTCAAACTTGAACGATGGAAACTTGTTATTTTTATAGACCTTCAATCGCAGATTCGTGATTGGGTTTTTCTCAATTCAGAATTTCTTTCCACGCCCTGTATGATAAATGTCAGTTTGTCATACATCTAAAACAAGATGTAATCCGTTATTTCAAATGATCTTTTTTTACTCATGGATTTTCACCTATCTTACAGAGGCTGAAGCTAGGAGGAGGTGCATTTCTAGACACATGTTCATATGGAGAAAATCATATTTCGACCCCAACGAAATGTCCATGAAATATTTACATCGAATTTTGAATTTTACTGTGTATGGATGGTTCAATAAGAAAACTTGTGCACATGTTGCAGTCGTGAGGAAATGCCACAAAAAAATTGATGGTTTTTTCTCATTTTCTTCATGTCTCCACAACTACAATCATACGTTTCCAATGTCAATACCTAACTAACCTACGATTTTCGTTCGGAAAGTTCTAAAAAATTACAAATGAAATTCTCGTTATATATCCTATACTCATGTCCATTTTTCCATTATTAGAATTGTTTACCAGCTTGTTTCGGTTTTTCAGACAGTTCTGGAGGGGGGGTGGTTCATACCCCATGGACCCCTCCCTTTATTACGCCACTGGGTGCCTCATCGAATGTACGTATTCCAGATTCATTTGATAGGAACTTTCGTCTCCGAGATGTTAGGAATCGCTATGAAAATCTCAATATTTCAATAACTAGTTGTATAAAACCAATTTGTATATGAACTTGTTAAGTTGATTTAAAAATTCTATTGCCTTGAGGAGTCTGCTAATATATTTTAGATGAGTGGAATTCCAGCATGCCAAATAATCAAGTTTGTAATACGGTTTTCGCGATAACGCTAGGCAAACACCAATAAATTGTCCGATATATTCCCCAACAATAAAATATGTTCCAGTCTACCAGCATCTCTTGCTGATTATGGTATCTTAACTAAATACACGTTTTTATTTTTTGAACTTCCTCATATAATTCACAGCATTGGCGTACACATATCCCCTTCACTCTCCTTGAAACAATAAACATCTATAAAATCGATATAATCGTATGTAACCAGAAATAATCTCTGGGTAAGGGTATAGGTATAGTGAATCTGAGTAAAACAATAATTTTACATCACTTCGATTCCAGCAAGACAGTTAGTACTTCTGTTTCGAATGGAATGGGTCAGTATTTGATTTCTTATAACTTGGAGGTGAAAGATATGAATTCACAACCTAGAGGTTTACTGAACTATAGGAACTATTGCTTCATTAATTCGATTCTACAAGCATTAAATGCTTGCACAGGAAATTTCATCAAGTAAAAATAGGTATCCTACTCCGATTATTGATGGTATGTGTCGCTTCGTTCAGGAATTCAACCATCTGTCGCTAGTGAAGAAGACGAGTGGCAGAAACTTCTACAACAAGACGGCAAGAAAAGACCACAGCGTTTTGATCGACACAGTGCCATTCGAGCCTATCTGGATATACAAGATGTTGGCTAATTTTCGGTCGGACCTGATTGAGGGCAGGTAGGAAGACGCAGAAGAGTTCCTCGGATTCCTACTGAACGGCCTCAACGACGAGATGTTCGAATTGATGAAACCAGTTTTGGATTTGGAGAATACTTGCAGTGTTTCAAAAAGTACAGTCTTCGAAAGGACGCCAATACGCGCTATTTTTTGCGGCCAGTTGAGATCGGAAATCATGCGAGCTGAACATGTTTCCACGGAGAGTATTCAACCGTTCCTGCTCGTTCCTGACTCTGCAACTGAATGCCGACAAAGTGAAGACGATCAACGGGGCTCTATGGAGACACTTATGAATAAGGAGCAGCTGGAAGGATTGACTTCTCCTAACACAAATTGAGTGGTACAGGAGTGGCAGCAATTGATGTTGGATGTACTGCCAGTTATCCTCATTCTGCATCTGAAATTCTTCGATTTCAAGCCAGACGGTTGTTCGAAAATCATCAAGGCGTTGGAATTCCCTGTCAACCTATAAATCGAATCGAGGTTGTTATCTTCGAAGTCACAAACGCCCGAAGGATGCCTTCCAAATGGAAAATGACGCCACCGTTAGGACAGTCACAGAAGAGCAAATGTTAAAGTCGCAGGATCTCTGCTATTCTACAGGCGAAGGGATACTATCGGTTGAAATAATAATTGACTTCTAGGATGGGATTCGTTTTTTTTAACCAAATTGCATTTGGATTTCTTAATAAATATGGTTGCCATTCTGGATTTTGAATTGATATTGAGTTATGCATATACAACAGTATACCTACTTACTGACTATTATCATTTCATTCACTTCACGATTCACAATAATGAAACATGTTTAAAACAATGAATAGTGAATGAAACGAAATGGAAAATCATATAAAACAACACATCAATTACCCATGATGAGGTGAATGTTTTCAACAGTAATATCACGACACTACAGGAGTCCGCGAGGACGTGTGGTATCAATGTACGGCAACACGGTTATTGAGTAAACAATGAGAGACAGAATTATGAGAAGATATTCTGAACAGCGAATGGAATTTTGCTAGACTTCTCCACGTTCACGAAGCATAAGAAGAATTCAATATAAATAAACACGGTATATTTTTTCCACATATAATATAAATTTATTCAATAAGCTATATAACCAAAGCGATTCATTCTGGCAACTATGGCTAGTTATTTTATACCAAACTGACATCAGACTTGCTTCGTTATCCTTGGTTACACCGTTGAAAACACCAACGCTGATAGACCAATCAGAATTGAAACACAGCTAAGTATAGTGCTTTCACGATAATACAATAAATTGTCTTTGACTTGTGTTTGTTCAGATTATGTGAAAACTTTTCAGATGAGTGAAATATATACTGGAATGGATCTCAAATGGCATATGTATGGAAAATAGGAAGAGGCGGTACCTAGGTATCGCATTTTTTTCACCATCGTTTCTATAGACAAATGAGTTATGGTAAACACTTGACCGATATCTTGATGTTGGCGACAAAAAAATCTACTGACTGAGCTTGATGAGTTCGCTAGTGATGGAATAATAGCCTGGATTTCTACAGAGTATTTTCCGTGAAAGTATCTGAAAAAAAAAAGAGAAAGGTGGATGACCTAACTGCGGTATTCCAATGATGTCATGATATCTGTTAGGCATTGTACTATATTAAACCAGTGTCCTTACCCATTATGATATAAATGCTAATCAAATATAGTCAATGAAGAAATATATGGTTTGAATTCTAGGCACAATATTTTTCAAGTTATCGTGGAAAAATTCATGACCCTAATTCACTTTAACGCACTTTAGCCCTCGATCAAACCCTACTTGGGGGTGTATGAACGAGAACACCCCTATATAAAATTTTGAAACGGTAGTACCTACTTATTTTATTTTCTATCCATTCATCAGTCTATAAAATATCTACACCAATCAATGTTATATTCTGATTTCATTTTTATCATGCAAATTATAGATATATTTATTAAATAATATATTCACTTCCGATCAGCATACTTTCCAAGTTGAAAGCTAGGCTAATTTTTTTCATGAAACCATTGAATCAAGTTGGTAACTGATTTGTAGCACCAAAGCATCTTCAAATATGCGAATAACTGATTTCTGGCGACTTGAGAACGCACCCTTTCTATATCTACGCTCATGGTGTAGAACCACTATACTCGAATCAAATAAGGCGTAGAATTTATTAGAATTGAATAATCATTTCCAGCTATTAAAATAATTATTATGCATCTCGCTTTACAAAAAAAATAGTATCTACCTATTTAATTAGACATAATTGAGTTAAATTGAATAAATGGTGAAAAATGTTAATATGATGAATTTATACGGTCTATTAGTCTCTGAAATGTTGACACAACACAATTCTTCGCATTGCACTGTTACTCGTAGTTATGCTATACCAGGAGAATTATAATTTTGTGGGAAAATATCGAAATGTCATACTAGATGGATGTTCTCGGAATTTCATGAGAAAATATCGTCGACCGCAGTTTCTTCACCATACCGATGCAGGTAGTTATAATATACAATACGTTTTTGTTTTTGGATCTGAAAATACCACTTATCGATGCCTTCTTTACCTACAATATTGGAAAATAACTGTCGGTTTATCAATTAATTCATCCAATAAAATGAAAGTGAAGCAATTAGGTACCTTATAAAAATTAAGAGACTTGTTATACCGAATCCTGATTTCTGATGTTCGTGAAAGAGACTAACGAAAAATCAGTATATAATTCCTGGAAATGTACTAATAGGTACCTTCACTAAGCTAGTTTGAATATACTTTCAGTATATACTATATGAAGACCACAGGGGAAAAAGGGGGAATGTCACAATATAGTAGAAATTGACTTGACACCTCCATCTGATTGCCTAATCACTATATTTTAGTATAAACTATGCCATCTCTTATCGAGTTTTCTTTCAGGCAGATCGCTCCATGTGGTGGTGGACGGTGTATCGTCTGATACCATTGGCATCAATTCCGGCGTTCCACAAGGACCAATTTTGGCACCAACATTACTCCTTCTTCATATCAATGATCTGTTGGGAGTAACAACTTGCCCCATCCACAGATTTGCAGATGATAGTACCCTCCATACTGCGTTCTCTTTCAGAATTCCCATTTCCTGCCAGGAAACTAAGAACTCACGGCGCAGGCAGGTCAATGCTGACAATGAAGACCTTTCTGAAATCACAGCCTGTTGAACCAACAAACTGATTGAATTCAACGCCACCAAAACTCAAGAGCCTGTATTTTCTCTAGAAAGGCGGAACTCAGTATACCCGACGTTGTAATGACGGGCACCACCATCCTCACCAAGCCCACCATATCTATGCTCGGTATTTCCATCAGCAACACTCTTTCATGGGATAATCATGTCAGATCCATCGCAAAAGCTGCTTTACAAAAACTCGGATTCTTGTTCCGTGCGAAAAGCTACTTTACACCTCAACAGCTTCTTATGATCTACAAAGCGCAGATACGGCCTGTTCTAGAATACTGTTCCCACATATGGGGCTCAGCACCAAAACATACGCTGATGCTCTTAGATTCCATCCAGAGAAGTACCATTCGCTTGGTGGGTGACGCCACACTCACTCACTCTTTGACATCATTGGAACATCGTAGAAAGGTCGGCGACCTTTCACTTTTCTATCGATACTTCCACGGGAAATGTTCTTCGGAAATCTCTGCTATCATCCCCTCAATAGCAATACCAGTAAGACGAACTAGACAAGCCCAGTCAGCACATCCTTTCGTTGTCAACCTCGAAAGATGTCGAACACCACTTTATCAAAATTCCTTCATCCATAGAACGGCTAGGCTCTGGAATTCCTTGCCTGAGGAAGTATTCCCAACAACATATAACCTCCAGAAGTTCGAAAAAATTCCAATACCCACCTCATATCCCTATCCTCCCTAGGAACGCACGATGTTCTTTGATCATTATAGGGATTCCCTTTCGTGCGCTCCAAGCGATGAAAAAAAAACAGTAGTCCATAGCAATAACGCAGGATAGTCAGCTAATATGCTCTTTCGAAAATACGTTCACTTGGAAAAAACGCGGAATGTCCACTTCAAAAATGTGAAGAAAGGGGAACGTCCAAGCTTAGTGCTTGCTTGAATACAGAAGATTCCATGGTGATTAAAATAGGTTGTTTTCACACTGTCGAAAGGTCAAAGTGTACTTTCAGGCAAACATAATATGAGAAAAAAAAATACGGCCACCTTTTTTTCATCTCTTGGAGCGTACCCAAAGAGAATCCCTATAATGTTCGGAGACATTGTGGGTACTTAGGAAGGATAGAGAGAGAAGGTAGGTATTGGGATTTTTCTCAACTTTTGGAGACTATAAGTTCTTGGGAAAACTCTGTTAGGAAAAAAATTCCAAAGCTTTGCCGTTCTATGTATAAACGAGTTTTGGTAAAGAGTTGTTCGACAAATTTCGAGGTTGACGACAAAAAGGTGTGTTGACTGGGCTTGTCGAGTACGTCTGAGTGATGGGAATAAAATAATGAGATTGCAACATGGTGATTCCTACTCATATCGCGAAGAATTTATAGAAGATGATCAAATTATAGAGATGTTAGCTGTACTACATGACAACTTACCCCTCATTAGGTAGTCAGACAAGAATGGAGGAATGATAGCGAGAAAAAAATCCAGTTTTTTATAAGTTATTTGGACATTCCCCATTTTTTTCTTGAATCTTTGGACTTATTTATTGTTCTCGATGATTTTTCCAGTCAAATATGATTTTTATCTCTAGTTGTTAAACTTTTTGCTCATTATACTCCATCAAATGAATCCATGTGGTTTGATTTCAGTTTCCTTCAACATTCAAAAAGTAAGGAGTATTTAAACATTGAAATTCGTTTTTCTCGAAACTTACTTTTTGTGACATTCCCCCTCTTTCCCGTGTGATCTTCATATACTATATACAAAATACTAACAGGTGCAATTATTCACACACTTTGGCGACCCCAGCAAACATTTTGATATGGGGCATCATAATGGCCTCCCAGCAAACATTGAACTAGCGGGAGAAGTCCGGCCTAGTGCAGGCTAGTCTGGGAAAGTGACGGTGCCGGGGTATTGGTGATAGGCCGATGATTTTCCTATGCCATGTAACCATCAGTTAAAAATACGATGATGGCCTTGTAATGGTAAGATGTCTGGAACTAATTGAATACTAACGAGATCTGGCCCTTTGCTGGCCAATTTCATGTTCGCTACTCGTCCCCCTGGTGGACGTTCTGGGAAGGTCTACATCAACAATCAGCTGATCAATATTATATGTGACTAAAATGGCTGACTCTCGCGA